TCTACTCTGAGCTCCTCCCGGGTGACCGAGCTCCTCCCCCTATCTCTAAGGGTGCGCCCGGCCGCCCTGCGGAGAAAGCTCATTTCGGCCGCCTGTATCTGGGATCTTGCCCTTTCGGTCATGACCCAAAGTTCATGACCATAGGTGAGAGTCGGAACGTAGATTGACCAGTAAATCGAGAGCTTCGCCTTACAGCTCAGCTCCTTCTTCACCACGACGGACCGGTACATCGACCGCATTACTGCAGAAGCTGCACCGATCCGCCTGTCAATCTCCCGTTCCATCCTTCCCTCACTCGTGAACAAGACCCCAAGATACTTGAACTCCTCCACTTGAGGCAGGAACTCTCCACCAACCTGAAGGGAACAAGCCACCCTTTTCCGACTGAGAACCATGGCCTCGGATTTGGAGGTGCTGATTCTCATCCCAGCCGCTTCACACTCAGCTGCAAACCGCCCCAGTGCACGCTGGAGATCCTGGTTTGATGGGGCCAACAGGACAACGTCGTCTGCAAAAAGCAGAGACGAGATCCTGTGGTCCCCAAACCGGACTCCCTCTGGCCCCTGGCTGCAATTTCTTTTTGTCTGTACTGTAAAATATTTGAGTCTGTTTTGTGTGTAAAGTCTTTTTATAAATAAAGCCAAGTTGAATCTGAAATAAACAGATCAATAAAGTCAGTGTTTTGGTCCTCCTCTCACACTGGTGAAAAATCCTTCACAGACTAAACTTTTAATGTTTTTTCTGTTTCCTTAACATACTGATGATTATTTTGCTTGTTAGAATGTTTAATGACCTTAAATTATTTTGGGAAATTTGACATGTATTTTTAGCCATAGACATGACGTATATCGCCCAGTGTTTGATTGTTTGTCTCCTCTATCCTTACACCCCAACCGGTCAGGCAGAAGGCCGCCCACCAGGAGCCGAGGTCTGTCGGAGGCTTCTTCCCTAAAGGGAGTTTTTCCTGTGTGGGGCCAAGTGCTGCTGGGGGGGGGGCTTTGGCTTCACATGTAACCATTATTAATAACCATTATTTTTATTTGTCTTACTTTAAATTTTGTGGTAAATGAGGTCTGTGTAAGACTTTTTATATAGGCGTTTAAATGTTTACGATAATAAATATGAAATAATGAAATATGGATTTATTTGGTTAGTGACAATCAGCCAACGAAAAGTCTGACGCTTTTATCCTGCAGGCTGCTGCCTTTATTGTGAAGTCTGGGGCCGGAAGCTCCGTGCTTCCTCCGGTACCTTGACTGCCCATCGCCAAGCTCCCGTCAGACCAGGTCTGTGTCGAGCTGCGGTCCGGACGGAGCGGAGGGAGGCAGCGCTGCTCATCGACAGCAGCTCCGTGGAGAGATCCGGAGGCAGAGCCGGAGTCACTCCGGATTCTCATCTGGTCCGGGTCTAAGGAGAGTTAAAGTTTTCGTTTTTCACTTGTGGGATTAAAATCTGAACGAGGGGAAACAGAAACCAGCTCCGGGACCGGGTCTGGATTTATTTTCATGTTTTCCTCAGGGGGTCCGCTCTGATCCGGGTCCACTTCGGTGCTGCGTTGGACCATGGTGGGGGAGATGGAGGGGAACGACAAGCCCAGGCCCAGTCCGGATTACCTGATGCAGCTCATGAACGACAAGAAGCTGATGAGCAGTCTGCCGAACTTCTGCGGCATCTTCCAGCACCTGGAGCGGCTCCTGGATGAGGGTGAGCGTCTCTTCACCGTTAAACTCGTTTCTCGGAGAAATACTCGCATCCTTCAGCTGCCTGCCACTGAAATACTGCGTTAAGTACTGCATTCAGTCTTACTTCAGTAAAAGTAGTGAAGTAGCCTGTATCAGAAGTCAGAGTACTCTTACTCACTTTGCAGATAGAACGCTCTCTGTCTATTATTATATTCAGTACTCGGGTGTAGTTTGAGGTACTTGTACTTAACTTTAAGTAGGTTTCTGCTATTTAGTCTCCTCAGAAGACACGTAGCCATTTATACTGTAATACAAAGGTAAAACTGGAGCTGCTGGATCAACATAAATTCATTATTTAAACAATGAATCGTTTAATTTTGGTCGCAGGTTCAAGAGACGAGATTTTTCAGTTTTACTCTGAATCTTTGGGCCAAACGAGACAAACGTGAAGATGTTAAACCAGTAAAATTCCAGAAAACTGTGGAAACAATCACTGATTGCAACAACAATCCGCCAACTCCCAGTAGTTACAGAAATATTAACTTCTGCTGTTTTCATAAAGAGGCCAAACAGAAAAAGTCAAACAGAAATATTTAAAGGTTCCACTTTTTCTAATTGTACATGTTTCTTCTTATAACTGAGTCCTCAAGTCAGGTTTTTGTTATTTAAATATAAAAATGACAGCTTTGTTTACAGTATTTTCTAAAACAGTTTCATTTTTCATAATAATTCTTCTTGTGGTTTGGTTTTTTGGTTTTCAAACCAAACAAACCTGTAGAGCATGTTTCAACTAATTCAAAGTAAAACGGGCTCTGTGCAGTATTCTTACTGCAGACACCTTTTTTAAAAAAAGAAAATGAGTTTTTTAGGACGTAATTATGCAGAAATGCCTTCTTGACCTCTGAACATTTGTTGATGCTCCCCACACATCAGTGCATGCTATAATAATCCAATAATAAACCATTGTCAAATGAACCTCTTTTCTACATAGTCAGTACTTTTGATATTTAAGTGCATTTTGCTGACAGCACCACTTACATTTCAGTGTGGAACTCTTCTTGTATTGAAGTATTTTTCACAGTGGTGTTTGTACTTTTACTGAAGTAAGAGATGCGAGTACACTGAGGAAATAAAGGTCTTTGAATTCATGTTTATCATTATTATGGAGGACACATGTGCGCACAGTGTCATGGACGTCTAAAAAGAAAAACCTCCTTTGTGATGCGTTCAGTGATGCGAGAGAATCAGCAGGTTCATTAAAAACCTAGAACGTCCTTCTTTCTTGCTATGACTTAACACAGGGGTGTCAAACTCAAAGCACACTTTAGGTCGGGGGCCGAACAGGATAAACATTTATTGAAGACTAAAACTAAATGTTTTTTGAACACAAATATGAATCGAAACAGACAGGATACAATATTATTCCAAAATAAATAAACTTGAACTTAAAATCAGCAACCCTATTTCTGCTAAGGGTTAGTACATTAACAAACACCTGCTTTTTGTCTGGACACCAGACGTCGCACACTTTCATCATGCAGCTCTTCAGAAACTCTCCCTCGGTAAATGTCCGGGCTGATTTTCTCCTCTGCCCCAATAAAACTT